AAGGTGGGGAGCAACTGAGGAAGACACCTAATATCAACCTTAAAGTACTTCACAGAGGATTTTCAGACTGACCATACCAGACACACCATACCAGACACACCAGGTTGCTGGTGACCAATGACCTTCCAGGGTGTTTTTATAGGTTTAGCAAATTGCAGGGGTCAATAGAGCTGAGACCCCTCCCCTGGCTCAGAGCAGCAGGTTCTTGTCCTGGGAGAATTGGATTCGGTGGAATGAAGTCAGGGAAGTGTGGCAGGCTCTCTCCAAAGTGGCTTCAACTGCAGCCTTGTCAGCACTCCCCAGAGACCAGCTATAGCCCTGCTGCAAGTGCTTCAGATCCTGTGTTAAACAGTTTGGGTAAGCTGGACAGTGGTGGTTCACACCTTTAATCCCAGCACTGAGGAGGCAGAGGCAGGAGAATACCTGAGTTCAAGGCCAGACTGGCTTGGAGAGTGAATTCCAGGACAGCCAGGGCAACACAGAGAAATCCTGTCTCAAAAACAAACAAAAAACTTCTGTATGAAATGCCCAAAGATTGTCGTGGTTCTGGCTGGCCAGATGTCTCTCTGTTATGTAGAGCACGGGAGCTGTGTAGAGGGAACATTCAGATATTTAAATACTCTTATTATATCCATCTGCTTACCATTCTGACCAATATCTATCCTTGAAAACTAATAAGCACACAGATCTTCATCTTCATATAGTGTGCAAACAAAATAAGTTCTCTTTTGGAGAAAGCTTAAAATGAAATGTTCACTTTTAAGTAGCTAGTGCAGCAAATAACTTGCTCCAAACTGTGACATCAAGAGAAGTATCAAATAATATAGAATGCAGCAACAAGAACCAGTATGCTAACCAAACAGCCTGAGACAAAAACTAAAACTTAACCAGGCATCGTGACACATGTATGTCATCCCAGTACTGGGAAGTAGACGCAGGCGAATCAAGAGTTGGAGGCCAGCCTGGCTAAAGAAGCAGGGCAGGACATCAAAATGGCTCAGCAGGTAAAGGCATCCGCTGCCAAGTCTGACAGTGTAAATTAAACACAGATCTTACAGCATAGGGAGAGAGAGAATTGACTCTGACTCCTGCAAGCTGTCCTCTCACCTGTGCACATGCACCACGGCACATGCGCAAACCTACAGTGATAAGTAAAGTGAGATTTAAAAAGGAAAACCACAATTTTACTCTTCTTGAAGTATGTCTTTGTTCCATTTTACACAAAAAAGGTGGCCTTTCTTGTTTTCCCATTTCCACTGTAAGTCAGAGACACCCACAGCATAACCTTTAATCACCAATTCTGGCACATTGCTTGAGGTTAGCATAATATATTTTGGCAGAGACAAGACTGACTTGTGAAATCAAGTGCTTGTTACTTTTCACTGAGGGTGTAACTGACATCAGAAGTGTGTTCACTCCCTTCTCTTTCCCCTATTTGTTCTCCGCCAAACAACAAAAGAAGCATGCAGTTTCAGGATGATTGCAAAAACTCGTTGCCTCACATTTGCAAAAATAATAGCTCATAAGACAAATTATAAGGCCATTAAAGTGATTCTGGCAAAAATGTATGAAAATGAGAGAAAGGGATGAGAGAAGGAAGGTCAGTTCTTTATTATCAGAGCATTCGACAGCTTTGTTAACTTCCTGTAATCTTTGGATCATGTGATGAGGCCAGTAGCATAGCCAGGAATTCTAATACAAGAAACTGTCAATATTGGCCTACTACTCACCATCTAAACAACAAATGAATGGCAAATTATGGATGCTCTCATGAAAACAGAGGATCTCACAGACCCTGAGCCTGTTACCTTCCATATAAAAACAGCATCTAAACTTGGCAAGAAATTGAGAGAATGGAACCCAAACTTGGATCCTGTGATATATTCCACCTTAAGTTAGGCAAGGGCTCATCTGCCCTCAGTCTCTTAACATTGTCAGGTTGCTGAAAAAGACCACCCCTATCCTAGAACATTTGACTACCTAGAATGTCCCCTGTCCCTTAAGACTGAGTGACTAATGGGAATGTATAGACTATACAAATGGCACTGCTGACAATCATATGTAAAGAAGCTTAATGGGAGCTCTTTTCTTTCCATTCATGAGCAAGGACATCCATAATAAAGAACAAGACCCAAAATACAAAACAGTTGACCAAACGTCAAGTAGTTATCATAGTGCTTAATGTTTTGTCAACAGCTTATCTGAACGTTAGATTTAAGAGTTACTGGACTTTAAAACTCTCTCCTTCAAGCCCTGTGAGGTGGCATATGCCTATAGTCCCAACACTTGAGAGACAGTGATATGCAAATCACTATGAATTTGAAGCCAACCTGATACATATAGTGAGTTCCAGGCCAGCGAGGGCTACACAGTGAGACACTGTCTTGAAACAGTAAAATTAAACAAAACCAAACCAAATACATATTCTCTATGGGCTATTGCTCTTATAGAGGATCTACCTATGGCTCTTCAAGTGGGTAACAGCTACCTGCAGTTTTGCTCCAGGGGATTCTGCAGCTGTCTTCTGGCTTTCTCAAGCACATGCGCGTGTGCACACACACATACATCTTGGACCTCTTTCTTGACAGTTAACAAAAATATAAAGGAAAAAACACATGTCTATTTATATAAACTGTTACTCACAGTGAGCTTATTTCTTAATGGTCAGCTAAAGATTCTAATTCCTTAATTTACTATCTGTGGAAAACTCACATTCCTGTTCTGTTGTTTTCTCCTGATTTACATCATTTGAATACCATTTATTGCTTCTGCAAGTTACAGATTGAAGAATATTTTCCCCTTTTTTTCCCACATAGGAAATGACTCAAGTATCAAATTAAAAGTAATCCCTAGTTAATTGTCTGTTTCTCTCCATAAATATAATCTGCAATTCCAGAAAACTTTCATTATCTCCTCTCTTTTCCTATTTATATATTTTTTAAGTTTCTTAAAATTTATATTATTTTATGTGTGTGACTGCTTCACCTGACTGTATGCATGTGTACATGTGTGGCCTGATGCCCCAGGAGTTCAGAGGAGGGTGTTAAAATTCCCTGAACTGGAGTTAGGGATCCACCATGTGGATTCTTGGGACCAAACCCATGTTCTCTGCAAGAGCAACAACTGTTCTTAATACCAAGCCATCTCTCTAGGCCCTCCTGATTATATTTTTGGTTACAGTTTAAACAGTCCTTTTTCTTGTGTCCACTACTTCCATTCAAAAACATAAAATAATACTGTTCTCTACTTCTACATCCTGATCAAACTGTAATAATAAATGGATATTCTTAGATGGCTTACTAGGAAACAAAGAAGAAAGTATAGTGCTGAGGGATGGACTGGAGAGAGCAATAGCTGCTGAATTCACTCCCTAGCGCCCACACAGCAGTTCATAGCCATTTTTAATTCCATTTCCAGGGGATCCAATGTCCTCTTCTGGACTAAGAATAGTTCTAGGTTGGGAAAGGAGAGATGACTCAATAGTTAAGAGCATTGGACATCTGGAGAGATGGCTCAGTGGTTAAGAGTACTGGCTACTCTTCCAGAGGACCCACGTTAGAATCCCAGCATCCACATAGCAACTCAAAAACCATCTGTAACTCTAGTTCCAGGGGGCAGATGTCCTCTAATGGTCTCCAAGGGCACTGCACTTACATGGTGCACAGGCAGGCATCCTGGTAAAAACACCTATACACACAAAATAATATTTAAAAATTAAAAACGAGCCTTGGCTGCTCTTGTAGAGGACCCAGTTCAATTCCTAGCAGGGTGGCTCACAGCTGTCTGCAACTCTGATTCCAAAGGATCTAGCTTCCTCTGGCCTCCTCCAGTTGTACTGCATATATGTGGTGCATATATACACATATATGCAGACAAAAATATATAAAAGTGTCTTCATAGAAAAAAATTAGCTCTAGGTAGAATTTTGTCTCCATCCTTTAAGCAACTGGATACAGGAAATCCAAAAACTAGAGGAAGCAATTAAACACAGCAGTAGGACTGAGACGGTAGTCTTGAAAGTCTGAGAGCGCATTAGGTTCACTGGCAGTACCACAAAAATAAACAAAACAGGAGAACAAAGTCAGAATGGGTGATTAGACTCTTCTGAAACAATGAATGCCTCATTCAAAAGGCAACATAACAAAACAAAAGCAGTTGCTCTTGGCTCAGAGAGAAAGATATGAACCTTGGATATGTAGAAGAGACCTAAGAAACAAGAAGAAAGTATACTTGGGGGCCTGGAGAGATAGCTGAGAAGGTAAGAGCACTGGCCACTCTTCCAAAGTGTCAAGTCTCAGACTTGGGACAAATGGCTGTGGTGCTGAGTTAAATACAAAAACTGACCTGGCTGTCAGGTTCTCCCAGCATCCCTCAGTCCCTACCTGTTTCAGGCTATTGCTGGCAGACACTGCCTGCTACCCTCAACTCTCCAGCCCAGAGGGCTGGGCTGCTCCTCCCTATACAATCCAACCATTTTGGTTACCAGCCCCACCCCCCTTTTTTTAACCTTTCCCCCTGGCTCCTCTTTCTCCCCTCTCCTCACATGGCTTAAGGTCTCCCAGATGTCCCCGCCTCTGGCTATGCTCTCCCACATATCTACAATAAACTTTCTCCTCCACCACACCTAGGAGCAGTCATGTCCTTTCTCCACCCCTACCCCGGGACCTGAATTCAGTTCCCAGCATCCACAAAGGCTCACAGCCACCTGCAATTACAATCGCAGGAGATCCGATGCCCTCTTCTGGCCTCCACAGTCACCAAGGATGTATGTGATGAAAAGATATGCATGCAGAAAAATGACAAATATACACACAATAAAATAAAACAAATTTAGGTGTATTTTGGGAAGAATGAAGAGAATTTAGTTTTACTCGGGCTACTTATTAGAAACATTGCTTGCACAGCGCCCGGACTAGCCTCAAACTCCTGACCTTCCTACACCCGCCTTCTCGGTGCTGGAGTGTACTCCACCACATCCAACAACAACGCATTTTTCTTACTTTAAGACATCGCTGCTGGGGCTGTAGCCGGCTCAGCGGAGGGTGTGCACTGCTCTTGCGGAGGACCAGGCTTTCATAACCGCCTTACGCCGAAAAGACGCTCACCTCAACCACGTGAACACTTCCGATCCGCCGACTCCTGAAGAGGATTTAAGACCAAAACCCAACGGGCGTAAACTATTTTCCTTTTAGAAGGAAAAGGGTCGGGTCGCGCTCGCTCGCTCGCGCACAGCCTGAGGGAGAGCCGCCGCCTCAGCCGACGGGCCTGACTCTTGTCACAGGGCTGCCTCCGGCACACCGCCTCCGAGGACCGAAGGAACTACAAATCCCAGAGTCCGGGCCGGAATAGACCGAAGGCAACAACCCACAGCGCTTCCGCTTCCGGCCCAGGGCTGCACGAGCGGTTCCGGCTGCAGCTCCGGCTCCGCTTCCTGTGATTAGGAAGCCACTCAAAGAAATTCGAATTTCCTTCCACCAAGTTGCAGTTGGCCCTCCGTAGACTGATTGCAAGGAAGAGAGGCGGAAGCCGACCACGAGGTTAAGGTCACCGGGCTGCGGGTGGGGGTCACCCACTGGCGGGACTTGAGTGGCAAGAGGGAGGTGAGAAGGCAGTGTGCTCGCAGGTCGTTTCCACGCACAGCTCTTGAGTGGATTAGGTCTACTTCCGAGCCTGGGGAATCAATCCATCAAATGAGCTAAATCCTGTCTAACCATTCTGTCCTCTAGACTGTGGTTTCTCCCTTTATCTGGGCGCCGCCTCAATTCTAACAGTTGAGACTGAGTTTTCTGTCCTATACACAGTAGTCCGAACAAGAATTGATATGAAAAGACACCGGAGGTCGCGGAGAGACGGACATAATATCCCTATGTAACCCTAGTTGGCCTGAAATTTGCTATGTCGATATGTGGATCAGGATGGCTTGTAACTCAGAGATCTACCTATCTCTGCTTACTGAAGATTTGGAGTTAAAAGTAGCCGCTAAAAGTAAGTCTAAACAAACAAACAAAAACTTCAATTTGTGAGAAGCTCAGCAGATAATGGTGCTTGCTGCCAGCTTTGACAAGTTAAACTCAGTCACCAGGAAACATATGGTGAAGGGAGAGAACCAACCCATTCTCTGACCGCAACACCCCCTCCCCTACACACACAATGGATAAATTGATGCAATACATTTTAAGAAACATATACTGAACAGAGAAAGCGGAAGAGAATTGCTACACATCCCCAGGGCGGAAGCCCCCTTATAGCAGTTGAGAGAAGTTATCGGGCCAGTCGGTCGGGATTATATTTGGGAAGAGTTTTAAGGCAGCTTACTATCTTGAGATAGTTGATCCAAGAATGACTGGTTGAGCTGAGGTCCAGAATATGAGTTAGCCTGTTTGCTAAGGCATTGAAAATCACTGGGAGGCTCCAAGCTATTAAGGTCTGTGAGAAATTTTTGTTTTTAAATATGTATTTATTCACTGTTCAGCTATTTCATGTGTGTGTCACTCCAGCATGGCTGTGGAGGTCAGAGGGCAATGAGTGAGTCCGTTGTCTCATTTCACCACGCCTGTTATATACCCTTGATGCCAGGTAATTCCCATTTATGCAGGATGACTACAATTTTTTTCTAATACTACTTAGTACTTTTGGGGATGCCATTTTATGAAGTCAATAAATTTATAGTAACTGATGTAAGCCAGGAATAGTGGCACATGCCTTTAATACCAAGATTCAGGAAGCAAAGGTGAGCAGATCTGAGTTCAAGGCCAGTCTTATCTACATAGTGAGCTCCAGGCCAGCCAAGTCTAATGAGAGTCTGTGTCAAAAGACAAATTGAAAAAATAATAATACTAGGGGCTAGGAAGAGATCAGTGAGTATGAATGCTTGCTCGGAAAGAATGAAGGCCTGGAATCCCGTGTCCACTAACAAGGCGGGAATGCTGCATTGCCGAGCTCATTCTTATGAAACCTTTTAGTTACTGCTGTGAACATCTCATTCATGTCCTTTGCAGGCTTCGAAACTGCACACTGTTGGTCTGCATAGGCTTTTGTGCTTCCTGGAATCCCACAGCATTGTCAGGCCCGCCATGTGACTCAAGTACTACAATGAGTTCAAGCTGACCTTCCTCTAGCTCCTTCACTGTCTTTTTAGCTTACTCTTTAACATGGTTTTTGAAGAGCTTCATTTTGTTTTTCAAGACAGGGTTTCTCTGTATACCCCCAGCTGTCCTAAAATTCACTCTGTAGAACAGGCTGACCTCAAACTCACTAAGATCTAGCTGCCTCTGCCTCCCAAGTGCTAGGATTAAAGACATGCACCACCACTGCCCAGCTTTGTTATGCTGTTAAAAAAAAATTTTTTAGCTGGGTGTAGTGATGATAACTTTAACCCCAGCACACCAGAAGCAATCAGGCAGATTTTTGAGTTTAAGATGAATCTGGTCTACATCATGCTAGATCCCATCTCAAATATAAATAAATAAGAAAGTCTATGAGTGTTCTAAGTTACTTTTCTATTGCTGTGAAGAAACATCATGACCAAGGAGACTTTTAAGGAAAGCATTTAATTCTGGGCTTTGCTTGCAGTTTCATAGGGTGAGTTTATCACCATCATGGCAGGGAGCATTGGTGGTGGGTAAGCAGGCATGGCACTGGAGCAGAAGCTGCTAGGCATGCAATTTTGAAACCTCAAAGCCCATCTCCAACAATGCCACACCTCCTAATCCTTCCCCAAATGGCTCCACCAACTAGAGAACCAAGTGTTCAAATGTATGAGCCTATGGTGGGCCATTTTCATTCAAACCTCATTCCACTCCCTAGTCCCCAAAAGCTTGTAGGATCTCAATGCAAAAACTTTGAAAAGTCCCCAGATTCTTACAGTCTCAAGGATATCTCTTAACTGCAACTCCCTGCAAAATCAAAAAGCAAATTAATTACTTCCAATATACAATGACATAGAATATACATTACCATTCCAAAAAGGAGGAAAGGGACATGGGGTAAACAGTAGTCAAAGCAAGCCTAAAACTTGGCAGGGCAAACTCAAATACCATAGCTTTATGTCCTATGACAAAGGGTTTGATGGATCTCCACTTCTTGGAGCTTTATTGACTGCAAAAGCTGGTTCCACTCTGTGTGCAATTCTCAACAGATATCCTATGGCTCTGGCATCTCCAAAATCTAACACAACACAGGATTCACTCACACAGCTACAAACAAGAGTCTCTTTGGACCTCTGTGACTTTAACACAAAGGAAGACTCCACAATCCCTTTACTCCTGCACCCTTCATGACTCTAAATCCAGAACTGTTAAGAGAAGCTTTTTCCTTTAGAAGGAGCCGTTCTGCCAGCCTGGTTCTAGAGCCGCTTTCCCGCCAGCCTGGTTCTAGAGCCATATCAGTCCCAAATAAACACACAGGAGGCTATATTAATTATGAAGCTGTTGGCCTTGTTTGTCTCTTACTGGCTAGCTCTGCCTTAAGTAATTACCCCATAATTGTTAATCTAAGTATGTTTCTTACCGGAGAATAGTCCCGGGCTTCCTACCCCATGCGGTTACATGTCGACTCTCTTGTGTTTCCCCTTCCCAGAATCCTCCTGGATTCCTAGCCCCACCTATCTAGATTCCTATTGGCCAGACAGTGCTTTATTAGCATAAGACTTCCCCAACATCTCCTCTTTTCTGTTTAAACAAAAAGAAAGGTCTTAACTTTAACACAGTCAAATTGTATATAACAGAACAGTTATCAAATAAGAATATAGTTACAATATTTTAGCAAGATTTAAAGAAAATATCATCCATACCATCCTTGTGAGTTCAAAGTTCTATATGTAACTTATCTTTTATCATAATTAAGGAAAACTATAATTATAACTATCTGTCTTCAACTCCATCAAAGACCACAGAAGGATAATATATAAACACTAGGATTGACAGAGACATCTTACTGCCTGGACAGTCACCCAAAGTTCCTCTGTAACGTTGGGGCATCCATCTTCAGCCCATAGGCCACAATGTGTCTGGAACACTTCTCAGCAAAGCAGGAAATTTCAAACTGTCCATCTGCATCAGCAGTCTGTCAGTCATTTTTCTGTGTCCTGCAGAAAGTCCCGTAGACTCTTTCATGCAGCAGGAACCCTGTAAGACTTAGTTCAGCAGTCACTTTCCTGTGGGTCCTGCATGTCCAGATGATACAACAACAGTCAAACAATCTAGGCAAGAGCAGTTTCTTGCCCAAATGGCTAATCTTGCCATGTTGAAAGCAAACTTTATAACGAATTTCTTCGATGCCCATCTTCCTCTCAGACGTAATTGGTGCTGCCAGGAGCAGACATTTCTCATTGTCAAGACAAACCCTAAACCATTTTAAATGCCATGTTCTGAAGGTCTTTGAGAGGTTTGAAGACTGTCCATCTCAAATATATTTCTGTATATCTAGAAACCTAACTTATGTAACTAGAAATTCTATTATTAGTAACTATCTATATTCTGTATTCAATTATGCATTACCTTGTAAAAGATCAGTATAAGCACAATACTTAATCAAGAGGAGAAATATAAGCATCACAAAATTGACCTTGATTTTGTCTCAATAAATGAAAAACAATACCCATACCATAGTTCCCCTTTTTACCATTAAAAAAGATTGGCTGTGATCACTAGCCAATTATAAACAATCCCATTTAAATGAAAACAAAGATTTATAAACAAGATGGGAATTGGGACGTCGCTCATTCCAAACTGCTTCCTGCTGGAAGGGGGCGCTGTTTATACCATGGGGATCATGACAAAACTCAGAAACCTGTATAAGTCCGTATTTTCAGGGTCTGTAAAGCTCCATCATCTTAACTGTCTCAGTCGTTGGAACACCTGGTCCACTGCTTCCGGGGGTCTTGGTTCGTGAAACCACAAAAGCCTGGAAGGAATTCTCAGCTTTTCATTTTCTGTAGAAACATAAGCAAAAACTCCTTTTCCGAGTAACATATCCTTATACTTAAATTTTGAAGTCAAGTCATTTTCAAAAGATAGAAGTTGGATTAATTCAGCAGCATTTATAATCAAGTGTACTTTAGCATTTGTTCCTTCCTTAGCAATCAAAAAACTGAAAAACACAATAGCGTACAGTATCCAGACTCTCTGTGTATTTTCCATCTTTACGTGGCTTATTTATTTATCTAATATTACTTTATTTCTTTCACTTTTATTTATCTTTCTCTGAGACAGGGTTTCTCTGTGGAAACCTGCCTGCCTCTGCCTCTGGAGCAATCCTACCGGCGTGTGCCACCACACCCGGCTTTTGTATTTATTTACTACTTTGCCGTTTCATTTTCTCTCTCAATCTCACGTATATTTTTAAACACACTGTAAACCTTTAGAGGTTTTGTTCATCCAAGTCTGACTTTACTGTAAATCTTTACGTTTTTCTGGCCACGTGTCTTATCTGTAAAACCGTGGCTGTTGTAAACTGCCGTTTTTTTTTTTTTCAAGATGGCGGGCGTAAGCTTGATTCCAGCTTACTGCCTCAGTCCATGCTGACATCCAGCAAAAGCTGCCACTTCCAGCTGTACGTACACACTTTTCAATCGTTAGCAGAGTCTCTTAAAACAATCTTGCTGTTTTTTTTTTTAATGCCGAGTCAGGAAGACTCCCGTAAGCGAGCCACGTGAATCTCGGCTTGTCGTTAGCAAAACAGAGCACACCTGAGAAAAATGCTGCTACCGAAAATCTGTGCTTCTCTCCGTTCTTCTGTTTCTAAAATTCCTTTAAAGCTTTTGTCATTCTGCGTGGAAATTCAATCCCACTCCTGATCACCATTATGTTAAGAGAAGCTTTTTCCTTTAGAAGGAGCCGTTCTGCCAGCCTGGTTCTAGAGCCGCTTTCCCGCCAGCCTGGTTCTAGAGCCATATCAGTCCCAAATAAACACACAGGAGGCTATATTAATTATGAAGCTGTTGGCCTTGTTTGTCTCTTACTGGCTAGCTCTGCCTTAAGTAATTACCCCATAATTGTTAATCTAAGTATGTTTCTTACCGGAGAATAGTCCCGGGCTTCCTACCCCATGCGGTTACATGTCGACTCTCTTGTGTTTCCCCTTCCCAGAATCCTCCTGGATTCCTAGCCCCACCTATCTAGATTCCTATTGGCCAGACAGTGCTTTATTAGCATAAGACTTCCCCAACACAGAACAGTGTGGTGTTGCTGCCAAATTCTGTTTGACTGGGTTGGGGAACCCGACTCCCTCCTTGAATTAATTTGCATAAGCTTTGATTTGTTGAAACTTTCCTTTGTTGGATACACTTTCCTTTGCTACAGAAGACTCCTTATGTATTTTCCTATTCATAAATTGGAAGTCTGACTCTGGCTGGGTGGAGTCTTGCACCAAGGGCATCACTCCCTTTAGTCCATTTCATATTGGGCCTTTTGCCTAACGCATGAGATCTGACTATAAAATTTAATTCCCTGGTGCTTTTTCTTCCCATTTTGTATTTCTTTTTGCTCCACTTGCTCTTATTTTATTTAAATCTGCATGAGTCATCACAAATAACTGTTCTACTGCTATAAAGAGACACCATGAACAAGGCAACTTAAAAAAGAAATCATTTAACTGGGAGCTTGCTTTCAGTTTCAGAGGTTGAGTCTATGACCATCATGATGGGGAGTATGGCAGCAGGCAGGCATGGCATGGTACTGGAGTAAAAGCTGGCTTTTCATCTGATCCACAAGGAGGCAGAAGGCTCTCCAAGACCTAATCCTTCAACCATGCAATATGTGATCCTATAGAGGCCATTCCCATTCAAACCAGATACATACCTGGTACCCATGGAAGTTGAAAGGGGTGGAGATGGGGGCATTGGAATATCTGGAACTGGAGTTACATGTGATTGTTAACTACCAGGTGGGTGCCAGGAACTGGACCAGGTCCTCTGCAAAATTAACAATTGCTCTTAACAATTGAGCAATCTCTCTGGCCCCACACTTTGACATTCCTATATATGTATGATGTATTTTAGTCATTTCACACACATTACTTTTATCTTCCAGTCCCACTGAAGTCCTTTCCAATAAATAAGTCCTCCGACTTTTTTTTTAAAGTCGCCCAGTGAATTTTAAAGTGTGTCTTATTTCTGTGTATTCTAGTGCATGTGGATGCCCCAAAACTAAAATAGAATTGCTTTCATAAGCAGAGATGGAGGGTAATTACTGAAGTATGGACAAATTACAAGTGGATACACCACTGAAGAAAATGGGCTTCTCCTAGCAACTGCTAACTGCCAATAGTTCTGAAGAGCCTGGGAATATGAAAAAATCTATGCCTATAGCCTGATACTGGCCTTAAAATAAGCTACCTGACCTTTACCATATCCTCCCAGATACGGGAAGCAGTCAGAACAGACCCAGGCTATGTAAACATCTTGAAACACCCTGTACTTAGAGATGGTAAATCATGACACCAAGGGTGCACTCCACAGTGGTTGTAGATCCTGACCTTAGGAATGCATTCTTGAGATGCCATAAATCATGTAATCTCTGCCCTGTGTATAACTTTTGGCTCTAAAAAGACACTTTGACTCTAAAAAGTCCTCATTGGTCACAGAGCTGAGTAATTCTGTGAAGTGCTAACTAGTTAGAAGTTTTGATCCACATGTTTTTTTGTTTGTTTTTAATTAAGTTGCTTCTGGTTAATAGACGTCGTTGCTCACTACCAAGAGTTCCTTAGCGGGTTTTGTTCCATTTTACTTGTTATTGGCTCCTGCAAACATTAGTCTTACCAACAGACTACATTAGCAGCCAGGGTTCTGTCACAATATATAGGAGCTATGCTGTGAGATTGCTCCTGTCTAGCTATGACCCACAACTCAAACTGTTATGTTGTCCAGGCAGATTTCTATGTGAGGTATAATTGTGCTCTTCTGAACTCACAGAACTGTCCTTTGACAAAGCTGGGGAGAGTGGATTTCTCTACTGCAAACCTCAGGGCAGGACTAGAGAAAACTGACAGGATTCCTTACACCACATAGTGCCTCAGGCTCTGGCCTTCACCAAACCATTGTATTATATTAAATACTAGCCAACAGAGACCAGGAAGATAGTCCAACAATTAATATCACTTACTGCTCATGCAGAAGACCTTCATTCCATCCCCAGAACCCACATCATCAGGCAGCTCACAACTACCTGTAATATCCGCTCCAGGGTTATCGTTTATGTTCTTCTGACATTTTGGGGACCTGCATGTATGTGAAGCACATAAATTCAGGCAGGTGAACATATGTATTAATCTTTTAAGATGAACTATTAGCAAAACTTGAACAATCAGTTCTCAAAATAAAACATAAATGGCCAATACATGAAAAAAATGTCCAAAATCCTTTGTAGGAGGAAGTCTGTATGCCGCCATTAAACATGTGACTTATTAGAGGCGCATACAGATGAGGTAATAAAAGGGCGGTGGTGGTGGTGCACGCCTTTAATCCCAGCACTCAGGAGGCGGAGACTGATGCAGCTCTAGAACCAGGCTGGCGGGAAGGCTGCCCTCACAAAGAAAAAGCTTCACTTAACAGAATGGTGATCAGGAGTGGGATCATGAATTTCCACGCAAAATAACAAAAGCTTTAAAGGAATAATAGATAAATAAATAAGCCACGTAAAGATGAAAAATACACAGAGAGTCTGGATACTGTATGCTATTGTGTTTTTCAGTTTTTTGATTGCTAAGGAACAGCTGCTAAAGTACACTTGATTATAAATGCTGCTGAATTAATCCAACTTCTATCTTTTGAAAATGCCTTCACTTCAAAATTTAAGTATAAGGATACGTTACTTGGAAAGGAGTTTTAGTTTATGTTTCCACAGAAAATGAAAAGCTGAGGATTCCTTCCAGGCTTCTGTGGTTTGACGAACCAAGACCCCCGGAAGCAGTGGACCAGGTGTTCCATCTGCCCCTCTCAGAATGACTTATGCACAAGTCCTGGTGTGGGTGAGGTGGGCCAGAACCCTTCTACCCTGTTGATGAGAATGGAAATCAGTATGGAGGCTGCCCAAACAACAGAAAGCAGAGCTATGGTGTGATTTAAGCTGTACCATTCCTGGGTATATACCAAAGCAAGCAAGTCAGTACGTAATACAGATGTCTGCACAACCATGTTAACAGTAACACTACTCAAAGTAGTCAAGATAAAAAGAAAACAGGTTAGGTGCTCATTAATAAATGGACTGAGAGACGGCTCAATGCCTAAAATTGCTCTTCCAGAGTGATTCCCAGCACCACTACTGGTGGCTCAGAGCCTGTAACTACAGGAGATCCAATAACCTCTTTTAGCCTCCCTGGGTACCCAAACACATGGGGAACACATGTGAACAATAATAAAATACAGGGTAAAGAAGTGACACACAGAATGGAGCTTTATTTAATCATAAAGAAAAAAATTAACTTGTAGGGACAGTGATGGAACTAAAATGCACAGTAAGCATAAGTTAGATCCAGATTGACAAATACATTTTTCTCTCATGCACAGAATCCAAAAAAAAAAAATCTATAAAGACATGAAAGTAGAGAAGATGAAGGCTTTAGGGGAAGGAGACCAACAAAATAAAGATGTATATAAATATGGTCAAGTGCACTTTATACACATCTGAATGTAGCTCAGAAAAATAGTATTCTTGCCTAGCATGCATGAAGTTCCAGGTTCAGTCCTCAACACCATACACTCCCTAGGAACCACAGTACAGTAGGGGTAGAGATAGGCATGAAAGTTCAAGGTTATTCTTGACCACATGTCAAGTTTGAGAACAGTCTGGAATACATGAGCCCCTGTTTCTAATACATGTGCAAAACATACACACACACACACACACACACACAGGACAAAACATGGATCTAGACACTTTCCTGAAACACAAATGGCCAACAAGTGTATAAAACGATACTTGAGAGGCTGAGAGATGGCTCAGCAGTTCAGAGCACTCAAGTTTAATTGTCAGCACCCAAAATAATAGGCTCACAACATCCTGTAACTCTAGCTTCCAGAAAATCTAACACATTTGTCTGACTGCCTGTTATGTGGGTTCTGTACCACAGAGGCAATATTTGAGGGAGGAAAGATGTGAAGTCATGGATTCAGAGGGCAAAATCTATCATGACAGGAAAGGCATGGTAGCTGGAGTGGTTCTGTAGCAGCAGGAGCTTGTAATGAAGACTGTTCACATCTTGGCAGATCAGAAGTGGACAGGTCAACCAAAATGGTTGGCAGGTACAACCTTCAAAGAGCCACCCCTACCTGCACCCTTCTAAAACAGTGCACCAGCTGGGGGAGACCACATGTACAAACACATAGGCTTGTAGAGAACATTTCACTTTCAAACCGTACTAGTTTAAAAAAAGTTCAAAATTATACTAGTCTGGCTTCAATTACACTATACTGACTACTCTTTCAGAGGACATGGGTTCCCGCAACCACATGGAGGCTTATAACTATAACTCTAGTACCAGAGGACCTGATGCCTTCTGACCTTTTTGTGCAACAAGCACATACCTGGTACACAGAGATTCAGGCAGGCAAAACCAGCACATGAAAACAAACAAAACAGCCAGGCAGTGGTGGTGCACACCTTTAATCACAGCATTTGGGAGGCAGAGACAGATGGATATGAGTTAGACACCAGACAAAGTGAATTTCAAGACAGTCAGGGCTACTCAGATAAACCCTGTCTCAAAAAAGAAAAGACAAAATTCTGCATTATCTCACACTTGGAATCTAAAAAATAAATTGAAGTCACAGAAATAAACACAGTGGCTGCCAGTGGTTAAAGAGAGAGAAGGAAATAGCTATTCAAGAGTGCAGACTTTCTGTCATCAGCAGCATCAAGACAGCATGTTCACCGTGACAACAGTGAACAATAATATACTGCCCACTGAGAATTGGCTAAAGCATTAGGTATTAGTAAAATGGGCTACTTTAGTTCCTGACAAACGAAGACTCTGTGAAGCCTATGATGGATTTTCCTGGTTACACTCCAAGAGAGAAGTCCCTCCCACATTAACCACCATTCTCTGAGATACATATAAGCATCTATTTCCAGGGCATATGGAACTATGCTTTCTAATTTGCTAAAACATTAGGTATTTTCATATCAAATATCCAATTTAACTCTGTGGGCCAGCAAGTTGGCTCAGCAGGTAAAAGAAATGCTTACCTCCAAGCCTAAACACCTGAGTTCAATTCCCAGAACCCACAAGATGAAAAAGAAAGCCAGTTCCCGAGTTGTCCTCTGATCTTCACATACATCATTTGTATACCCCCACCCCAAATAAATAAATGTAATATTTTAAAGAAAAGCTGTCAGGTGAGGAATATTTCCATTTGTTTGGATGCAGACTCAGTAAACAAAATTAGTGCCAATTCTAACTATATTAATACAATGCAGTATTGTATCCTTGAGGCAGAATTCCAGGTTGGAAATGTCTGTACTATACAATGAGACCCTCTCTCAAAAACTAAATAAACTCAATGCTGCCTAAGAATTATTTTAAAAGTAAAGCTTGTAAGTCTAATGTGAAATTTCTCATAATGTACCCTGTGAAATTAAACACAAAGTATTCTCTGGCTCTAAGAATGTTATGTATAGATCTATTAAATCCACTTGGTCTCAAGGCTACTTCAAGTACAGTTTCCTTGGTGATTTTAAGACTCAAAATCAGTTCAGCATTGAAAAGAGTACTAAAGCAGCTTTACACTCTCATTATAATGTTATTTCTCTCTACATATATTCTAATATTTGCCTTCCATATTTAGGTGTTCTATTTCTGGAATGATATCTTTACAACCATGACACCCTTACAATGGAGAAACAATCTTATAGTCTATTTATGCCCTAACAAATAAGTCACTTATTGGAAGCACAAAGAAGTCTTTCTAAACATTATCAGCCAGGCACAGTGGGCCATTACTGAAACCATAATACGTGAGAGATTAATGGACAAAGATCATTAGTTTGAGGTCAGTTTGTGCTACACAGTGTATTCAAGGTCAAACTTGAACTACACAGCAAGACTCTGTCTCAGAAACAAATAATGAAAAACTTACTATTAAGAAAATTCAATCTCCTGGTCACTTCACAAAGCAACCTTTAAAAGGACCACACAAACTGTGATCAAGAATGAGTTTATCAGTGGGATTCAAAGATGATTTATGCAAATAACTAAATGTGATGCACTGAATAGACACAATGAACAAAATACCATATTGCAGAAAACGTACAGAAACATGCAACAACATAGGATATCAACTGATGGTAACAACAGTCAATAAATTAGAAATGTGCTTAATTATAAAGGCAGCACATGAAGAACAAATATAGATGTCATTCAGGGTTACAAAGCTCAAACTTTTCAAGGACTGGCATACCTACCTGCCCTTCTTCTATTCAGAAAATACTGGGGAAAGACTAACGGGAACAATTAGGATAAGAAAAGAAAAAAGTCACCCAAGGAAAGAAACTTGTTTCAGGTGACAGGGTGTCAATATAGAAAATTATTCTGTGAAAAAAATTTAAGAAAATCATAAAAGCTCAATGATTTTTCAAATCAACAAAGCAGTCTTTACACACTACAAATTTAAAAAGCAAAAGTATTATGCCACCTATAAAACTGCATAAAATGGGGCTGGAGAGATGGCTCAGAGGTTAAGAGCACTGACTGCTCTTCCAGAGGTCTTGAGTTCAATTCCCAGCAACCACATGGTGGCTCACAACCATCTACAATTCAATCTGGTGTATATGTAATAAATAAATAAATCTTAAAAAAAACTGCATAAAATGATAGAGAATAAAGTTACACAGGGAAAAAATCTAAACCACTATGGACAAAACTATAAAAAAAATGTCGGGGATTGGTGGCGCATGCCTTTAATCCCTGCACTCAGGAAGCAGAGGCAGGCGGATCTCTTTGAGTTTGAGGCCAGCCTGGTCTACAGAGCGAGTTCCAGGAAAGCCTCCAAAACAATACAGAGAAACCCTGTCTTTAAAAAAACAAAAAAAAGGGTAAGGTATCCCATGCACACTGAAAGAATTACCACTGTTAAAATGCCAGTCCTACCCAAAGTGCTTTGTAGAGTTATTGCCATCACATTAACAATTCCAACATTTTTCACAGGCTTATGAAAAACTTCCCAAGTCATAAGAAATCAAAACCTTTCAATTTAGCTCAAACACTTAAATAAAAACAAAAATTTTAAGTTTAGCAAGGTATTACAGGGGTGGAGATGAAGCTCAGTTGGTAAGAATGTTCACTTAGCATGCATGAAGTCCCAAGCACTGAACCAAAAAACAAAAACCAACAATGAGTGTAGTGGTGCATGCCTGTAATCCTACCACTGGGGAAGTAGAGGCAAGATCAGAAGTCGAAAGTCATTCTTGACCATTTAGTTAATTTTGAAGCCAGTCTAAGCTCCATAAGACTTTGTCTCAAGGGATTAAAAAAAATCAAACAGTAATCAAACAGTACAGTATTGATACAGACAACATAGCAAAATAGTTTAAGATATAAACTTTAATCTCAGCACTCTGGAAGGCAGAGAGACAGGTGGCTCTCTGAGAGTTTGAGACTAACATGGTCTACTTAGCAGGTTTCAGGCCAACCAGAGCTACACGAGAGACTATCTCTCAAAAACAAAACAAAAAGAATTACAACAAAAAAATCTTACTCAAACCCAGCAGTGATGGTGCATGCCTTTAATCCCAAAACAGAGGCAGTGGGAATCTCTGTGAGTTCAAAGACAGTCTGTAATAGAATGAGTTCCAGGAGATTGAAAGCTACACAGAGGAGGGTAAAAAAGACAAAACAAAGCCCTTATACAGTCAAAGTAATTTCAACAATGAGTTTAGAACTATAGTTTGAGGGTAGAGCACATGCCTAGCATTCTTAGCACCAAAACACAGATGCTTAAAACCAAATTTTCAACAAAATTATCATAAAATAAAAAGGATTGCTAAACAAACTGACAAAATGAATATCCAAACAAAATAAGTGCACCATTAACTCTGTGTGTGTGTGTGTGTGTGTGTGTGTGTGTGTGTGTGTGTGTGTGTGTGTGTGTGTAAACTCAGCGTCAAGGAAAAAACAAAGAAAATTAAATAATAGCAAAAGTAATATAGTTTAGTTGGGCAAGCTGACAGGAGGCCTAGGGAAGACATATTGCTACAAGTTTAAGGCCACCCTGGTCTAGACAGTGAGTTCCTAGCTACTTTAGATTACATAGTGAGATCATCTTCAATAAACAAAACCCTGAAAATAAAATCTAAAACTGTAACACAACTCCAAAAAGAATGCTTCCTGACACACCAGCAAAGAATTTTGAAGCTGACATGAAAAGCACAGGCATAAAAAGCAAATATAAAGAATTAGGATAACATCAAAGTGAAGATTTTGCAAAGCAGAGCAGAAAACAAATCTGAAAAGGCATGTACACCAATAGAAAAGTATCTGCAAACTACGTATATTACAGTCGGTCTATGTCTCAAACCACACCAAACACATACATTGATTTAAAAATTGATAACCGAAATTATTATTTTAGCAAAGACACACAAATGGCTTACAGATTAGAAAACTGTAAATGAAAACTATGACGATACCATCTTACATTTTAAAATGGCCCTCAGAAAGAAGAAAGTAAAAATATAGGCAATAAAACATCATTGGGAACATAAATTGATAGTCATTACAGAATAATAATACAGACATACTGAATTAAAAGTACATCTATTATTACTATAACAAACCCAATTTGGAGACTGTATCTGAGGACATAAGATCACTAATTTAAAGAGGCAGCTATACTCATATTCAATGCAGGAATACTCCCAACAGTCAAGATATGGCAACTAAGTATACACAGACATACCAAAAGATAATTAAATGTCTTAAAACAAAATAACTGACTATACTACAGCTCTTCCTTGAGAACATGTAAACTGACAGAAGCCATATAAACAGCTAGGCATGGTGGCACATGCCTGAAACTCCAGCACTAAAGTCTGAGGCAGAAAGGTAGAGAGTTTGGTGTCAGTTTGAGCTACAAAGTTAAGACCCTGCCACAAAAAATAAAAAGTCCTAGGTATAGTTAATACAGATACTACGTGATATAACAAGTAGAGTCTAAAGAAAAGCTGAACTCCACTCAGAGAATGGGATAATTACTACCAGAGAGAGACTGGGAACTCAAAGAAAGGGGTTGTACTGGTCAGATACAAACCTACTTATGTAAGTATTTGAACACTATGAAAAAACATGGTGATTTCAGTGCTAGTAAAGCATATACTTAAAACAGTGGAAAAACCCAGGTATTATGCCTCATGCCTGCAACCTCAGCACTCAGGAGACTGAGCCAGGACTGCCATGAGCTCAAGAGCAGTCTAGGCTACATGATTTTCATATTAGTCTAGGTCACAAAGTGAGACTGACTCTAAAAAGAGTCCAAGGGGAGGAGAGCAGACAGTGCAGACGAGGTGCATGGCACAACAAATAACAGCAGCAAGTAGATGGAAGTTTGTGTTCCAATTAGTTCACAACTGCCGACACGGGGTGTTTGCTAGACACTAGATACAAACAACAGTTTTCAATTATATCAAACAGGAATATTTTAAAAAGGAAAACCTATAACGAAATTTAGAAATTTATAATTGAAGTCATAAAAATACACAAATATAGAAATATTAAAAGTTCATCTAGAAGCACCCAGGAAATCCATGTGTTGCCATCCAAAACTTCAAGCTTCAAGACATTGAAGAAAATCCACTATTACGCATACAAAGTTTCTGTTCAGTCTGTAAACACATAAAGTCTTACATAAAAGTTACTTCCCACACTTAAGATTTTTCTCAATTGTGAGATCACAAGTGAACAGAGAAACTTAAGATCTATGACATTTCTTTATGTCTTGCATCAACACATATGGAAACACAAAGGGTTTTCATTTCCTATACTACAAACCTTGATTGAGTTCACATACTGTGAGATTTTGATCTCTCCCATGATCCTTAAACTCAGAGCATCCTCTGAGGGAGTTGTTTTTACAGTAGTGACAACTGAATGCTTTTATACACTGCTTATTAATAAGACTTGTATAGACTGAATTCTGATTGCAAAGGATGGATCAAGGGCTTCCAGAATAACTTTCTGAATTCCTTACATTCAAAGGTTTTCCCCCCAGTGCGGATTTTCACGTTCTTTAGCATCAGCAGAAGTAGTGAAGGCTTCCCTACACTCCTTATATTCATATGGTTTCTCTCCTGTGTGTTTCCGTAAATGTTTATTAAGGCCTGAGTGCTCGGTGAAGGCTTTCCCACAGTACTGACATACATAGGGTTTCTCTCCAGTGTGAATTCGCATGTGAACTCGAAGATATGAGGACCATAAAAATGACTTTCCACATATTATACACTGAAAAGGCTTTTCTCCAGTATGAGTTCGCATGTGAACGGGAAGGTAAGAAGAACATGTAAATGTCTTCCCACATACGGTACACTGAAAGGGCTTCTCTCCAGTGTGAATTTTCAAATGCACATTAAGATACGAGGAAGAAGCAAAGGCTTTCCCACAGTGGTCACATTCAAAGGGTTTCTCTCCTTTGTGACTTCGTATATGTGCAATAAGGCCTGAGGAAGTGCTAAAGGCTTTTCCGCATTCCTGGCATGCATAGGACTTCTCCCCAGTATGATTTCGTAAATGTATAGTAAGGCCTGAACGAGCAGTGAAGTCTTTCCCACAGTAAGTGCATTTATAGGGTTTTATGCCAGTGTGAATTCGAAAGTGGGTCTCAAGGGATGAGGAGTTTCTAAAGGATTTTGTGCACACCTTACACTGAAAAGGTCTCTCGGAACTGTGAGTTTTTATGTGTACAGTAAGTTGAGCAAAACTAATAAAGCCTTTCCCACATTCCTTACATTCATAGGGCCTTTCACCAGTATGTGTTCTTATGTGTTTAGTAAGGCATGAGCGCTCAGGGAAAGTCTTCCCACACTCTTTACATTCATATGGTTTCTCTCCGGTGTGAGTTCGCATATGAATACGAAGATAAGAAGATCGTGTAAATGTTTTGTCACACTGATTACACTCGAAGGGTTTTTCTCCAGTATGAGTTCTTAAATGTCCAACAAGAGATGAGGAATGAGCCAAGGCTTTCCCACACTGATAGCATTCAAAAGGCTTCTCTCCTGTATGAATTCTTATATGTTCAACCAGGCCAGAGGATGTACTGAAGGCTTTCCCACATTCCTTACACTCATAGGGCTTCTCACCATTGTGAATTAACACATGCTTAGTAAGGCCTGAACGTGCAGTGAAGTCTTTCCCACAGAAATTACATTTGTATGGTTTTATTCCAGTGTGAATTCGAAAGTGGGTCTTAAGGCATGAGGAATTTCTAAAGGTCCTTGCACATACCTTACACCGAAAGGGTTTCTCACCAGTGTGAGTTTTTATATGTTCAGTTAGTTGAGCAAAGCTGGTAAAGGCTTTCTCACATTCTGTACATGGATAGGGCCTCTCTCCAGTATGTTTTCGTAAGTGTATCGTAAGCCAAGAACGGCCACTGAACGCTTTCCCACATACTTTACATTCATAGGGTTTTTCTCCTGTGTGAGTTCGTATGTGACCTAGCAGGTAAGAGGAACGTGTAAAAGCCTTCCCACATATGTTACACTCAAAGGGCTTCTCTCCGGTATGAGTTCTCAAATGTGTAGTAAGGTAAGAAGAAGATGCAAAGGCATTCCCACACTGGTCACACTGATACGGTTTCTCTCCTGTATGACTTCTCATATGTTCTGTAAGGCGTGAGGGTTGAATAAAGGTTTTCCCACATTCCTTGCACTCATAAGACTTCTCTCGAGTGTGTTGTCGTAGGTGTACAATTAAGCTTGAGCGCTCGGTGAAGGCTTTCCCACATTCCTTACAGTCATAGGGTTTCTCCACGGTGTGGCTTTGCATGTGGATATTAAGGTAGATAGGATGTGTAAAGATTTTTTCACATTTCTTACATTCATAGTATTTTTTTTCAGTGGGAATTACAACATGCTCATCACGGCTTGTAGGATGAGTAAAAGCTTGCTCACACTGCTCTGATTTGTGGAGATCCTTTTCACTATGAGAAGAACTATGTTCCTGAAGTTCTAACTGATTAACAAAAATTTTCCCACAGTCACTGCATTCAAAGGATTTTTCCAGAGTGGACATTTTCTGAGAAACATCTGAAGTCAAAGAGAAAGGCTTTACACACTGGTTCAACTGGAAAACGTTCTCTTCAGCAGAAGTCTCTTTAAGTGATGGCAGGAAGTCTTTTCCACACAAATTACACTCTGAAGTGTTCTCTGTATTTGGAGTACTAATGTGAGTCTGAGGGCATGACTCTTCACTAATAACTGTTCCAACTTGTATAGAATCACCACGCATCCCTCCATTGTATTTTCTTCCCTGTTGATAAAGAGTAAAAAGATGATTAAAGGGTTTTTCAGGCTTGTAAGGCTTGTACAGGAAATGTGTATACTTGTGGGAATTCTGACACACTAAACTCTTTTATGCTAAGTATATTAGTTTACTACTGTAATCCCAACACTCTGTAGGTTAAAGCAAAAATCATAAGTGAAGGTTACTTGAGTGGCTGTAAGCCCCTCTCTGATAAAAGGAGTAAGGAAAAAGGAAATGAGAAAGAAAAAAGGAAGAAAAGGGGGGAAAGAGAAAAGAGTTCCCTTGCCTATAATAGCTATTTTTATCAAGTATCTTTCATTTGTACCTATTTTTACAAGTGAATTCCTAATCCTCCCTGAATTTGGACAATAAGAAATATTCTTGTCCCCAAGGACTATGGCTCCTGGTAGGTCAACCATGCTCCAGGGAATGGCTCTACATACACCAAGGAGTGGTTTGGTTCACACAAATTCAAACTGATAGATTATTTATCCTAATGAAGGATGTAGAGCTGGGGTAGAACAGTGGAGGTGGATCTTGCAGAATTTAGGAGGAAAAGTGGGAGTTGAATATCATCAAAATACATTATATGAGATCTCAAATAAAAATGCTTTAAAAAAAAAAAAGAAATATTCTGGGGCTAGAGAGCTCAGGGGTTAAAAAGCACTTGCTGCTCTTCCAAAGGACCCAAGTTTCCCAGCACCCACATGGCAATTCAAATCGTCTGTAACTCCAGTTCCTGGGAATCAGATGCCCTAGTCTGTTCTCCAAGGGCACTAGAAATGAACATGAAACACAGATATATATGCAGGCATAGCACCCATAAGCATAAAAGTAAATTTCATTTCTGTGAGTCTTACCAGTTGCGTTCCATTTGCTGGCCCCTTGGTCTTAAGGTGCATTTCCCATTCTAAAGAGAAACCAGGAAACATATATAAAATTTTGAACAACAAATCGAAGGTTACATTTTTAAAAACAATCAAAAAACCACTTCATGTGGTCAAGTGTAGTGGTGCACACAGTTAGGAGGCAGAGGCAAGCAAATCTCTGTGAGTTCACGGCCAGTCTGGTGTATAAAGGTAAGTTCCAGGCCAGAACTTCACTTAACTTTCTTTCATATTAAAACACATTAAACAAGCTGGGTGGTGGTGGCACACCCCTTTATTAATCCCAGCACTCGGGAGGCAGAGGCAGGTGGATCTCTGTGGGTTCGAGGCCAGCCTGGTCTATGGAGTGAGTTCCAGGAGACAGCTAGGGCTATCTCAAAAAAACATTTTAAAAAATACACATTAAACAATAAAGCAAAAAGATTAAAGCATAAGATATGGTATCTGAGCTGTAATAATTAACAAGTTTTTCTAGTAAAATTAAATGGGATGGTGAATAATCAGAGAAAGGGGGAAAGAGTACATCACAGATGATCACTTTGTCTACCAAGGACTTCAGTCTTCAGAATCAAGGTGATTTTCTAACAGTTCCCGTGACACACTTCTGAACTTATGGAACTTGACAAAGACAAGAAATGTTCTCAACAAATACTAACCTTGGAGAATTTCTTGCTCTGTTACTGTCAACTCTACTTTCTGCTCCAACCAAGAGATCAGGCTAGGTTTAAACAACTGACCTCCTAAACAGAGAGACAGATACGTCAACAGAAAAGTCTCATATAAACTCCCCAATGATAGAAAACCACATTTCTCAAGAAATACTTAAAATTATTAACAGCCCAGAATACAAATATTTATGCCATTGGTGACTAGAAGTTTTCTGTGACCCCCATCAAATCCACATTCATAACTAAATGCACCTTTTAAAAAACACCAGTGAAGGCTGTCAGTCCAGCCTGGCCTCAAACTCTGACAGCCTCCAAAACAATACAGAGAAACCCTGTCTCGTAAAACCAAAAAAAAAAAAAAAAAAAAACACCAGTGAAGACAGAGTCTGTTGATGGATACATGAAATCTCAGCACTCACAAGGTAAGAGAATCAAGACTTTCAGGCAAGTCAGAACTAAAGGGCTAAATAGTGAGACCTGTCTGAAGAACCAAAGAATGGCTGAGCACTTGCCTAGGCTATACAAGGTCCTAAATTCAATCCCCACTACTGCCAATAATATTATTAGTGGCATGCAATATTCCTATGCCTTCATTGTTAATGAAAATTCTATCTTTAAAAAATGCAAAATAAAATACACTAAACTATTTCTTCCAATAAGATTTAATATAAGTAATGCAAGTGTTATAAAGTCACTACCACCCCCTCTCCCCAAAGATGCAGATCAAACCAAAGGCCTCATATGTCTAACCAAGCACTCTACCACAAGAAACATACCCAGCACTACTCCTTGTCTTTAGAAACAGATTCATAAAGATTGTTAAAAACAATGCCAGGTGTGATAGTACACATCTGTAATCCCAGCCCTCAGAAGACTGAGACAGGAGAATGCTAAGAGCTCAATCAGCCTGAGCTATAGCGTAAGAACCCTGCCATAAAACAAAACAAATCAAACAGAGAAAGAATCTCAAAATAACACTATCCGTATAATAAGTTATGCTACTAAGCACCACATTTAGTTGAGAACTACCATGATTGAATAACTACATTAAGGAAGATATTAAATCTGGTGTTTCCCACTGTTCTCTGAGCTGACATCACATTCTAGAATACTATTTCTGTTATCTTGTGTAGCTAGAACAAAGGATGGCAGTCTTACCGACTGTGGCCAGGTTCTGGTAGTTCTCTAGCATCACATCTCTGTAGAGGTTTCTCTGAACTGGATCCAATGAGGTCCACTCTTCCTGGGTAAAGTCCACAGTCACATCTTCAAAGGTTACTGCATCCTGAACCATCACAAAAATACCAGCTTGAGCAAAGGAAACATCACCTATGCTCACTAGAGAATGAGCAAGTAACATCCATGCCTATAAAGGAGTCTAAGGTCCCATAATCTTTCTCAAGTCTCAGTATTTATAGAATATTTCTCTACCCATACTCACTCTGTACACCTTCTGCACTCATGGATTTCAGCACCTCTTAAAACTAAACTTCATCACCACAACCTTACAGGGAACTGTATTCTCCCCACTCCCCTATATTGTAACACACTCTCAAGCACACTTCAAAATTGTTATGTGATTATAAGTGAATTTACTTCTTTACAAGTGGAAATTTCCAGTTTTGTTAGAACACATAAAATATAAACATTTAACCGATAACAAAAGTCAACACACATGATTACTAAAATATTGAGATAAATTTCAGGGTAATCCCTCTCCTAAAGACACATGCCTTTGGGAAAAATTCAACTAGGGATGTCATGGCATGGGATTTTGGTTTACTGTTTTGTTTTAGTGTGAGGACAAGTATACCTATGAAAAAATAATCTTCTTGGACAGTTTCATATTAACTTTGGATCCCCGTAATACACCTCTTCAGAGTACATGAAAGGAGATCATTCCTTCTACCAAGAAAGTCATGTCCTGACTTTCTATTAAAAAAAAAATGTCATTCTTGACTAAGTACATAAAATAGAAAATATACTTTTTATTGAACTTACCACTTTCTGTGTCTCCATGAAGCTATGTCTTGTCAAAAACTCCTGCTCTAGTGCCAAATCTTTGGTGTGTAGTTGTTTTTCCCCTTCTGGAATTAAACCCACAAACTAAGATTAGAGTCCAGTAACAAAACAGTATAGCAAAGAAGTTAAAAATGGCTCCATGGGCCGGGCGGTGGTGGCGCACGCCTTTAATCCCAGCACTCGGGAGGCAGAGGCAGGCGGATCTCTGTGAGTTCGAGGCTGGGCTGGACCGATAGCCTCCGAAACAATACAGAGAAACCCTGTCTCGTAAAAACAAAAAACAAAAAAAAAAAAAAAAAAAAAAAAAAAAGGCTCCATGGTTTTCTAAATAAACCTGGTAAGAGGAAAATCTGTATATTAATTGTCAAAAGTGATACATGGTAATAAAACAAAATGTCACCATAGAGAAAAAGGAAGAAATATCATGAAAATATAGCACAGTGTGGTAATGCATACCTACAATCCCAGCACGCACGAATCTAAGGCTAGAGAATCAACTATTTAATACTACACCACAGTGGAAAGAAAGAGAGAGAAAGGGGGGTGGGAATCCTGAGGACAGCTTATGTTGGAAAGGATGTATAGTCAGGGGAACATTCCTCCACTACTGGTGGGAGTGCAAACTTGTACAGCCATTTTAGAAATCAGTACAGTGGTTTCTAAGAAAATTGGGAATCAATGTACCTCAAGATCCAGTGATACCTCTTGGGCATATACCCAAAGGACACTCAATCTTACCACAAGGACATTTGCTCAACAGTGTTCGTAGCAGCATTATTTGTAGTAGCCAAAACCTGCAAACAACATAGATGCCCCTCAGCAGAAGAATGGATAAGGGCTGGGCGGTGGTGGCGCATGCCTTTAATCCCAGCACTCAGGAGGCAGAGGCAGGAGGATCTCTGTGAGTTCGAGGATGGGCTGGACCGATAGCCTCCAAAACAAAACAGAGAAACCCTGTCTCGAAGAAAGAAAGAAAGAAAGAAAGAAAGAAAGAAAGAAAGAAAGAAAGAAAGAAAGAAAGAAAGAAAGAAAGAAAGAAAGAAAGAAAGAAAGAAAGAAAGAGAGAAGAATGGATAAGGAAAATGTGGTACATTTACACAATGGAGTACTACTCAGCAGTAAAAAATGATGACCTCATGGAATTTGCAGGCAAATGGATAGAACTAGAAAAAAAAAAAACATCCTGAGTGAGGTAACCCAGACTCAGAAAGATCATAAGTGGATATTTGATATAAAGCAAAGGATAACCAGACTAAAATCCACAGCTCCAAAGAAGCTAGGGAACAAGGTGGACCCTAAGAGGGACACATAGGATCACCCTAAGAAGGGAAATTAGGTGAAATCTACAGGGCAAACAAGGGAGTAAGGGGGAAGGGAGAGGGATGAGAACAGGAGAGAATGAGATGGCCTAGGCAGGGAGGGACGCAGTGGGAGAGCAATGAAAAAGAGATCTTAATAGAGAGTGCCACTATAGGCTTAGGGAAAGACCTGGTGCTAGGATAACTCCGAAGAACCCACAAGGAGGACCCCAACTAAGACTCCTAGAAATAGTGGAGAGGATGCCCAAGCTGCCCTAACCCTGTAATCAGATTGATGAATACCCTGTCATCATAGAGCTTCCATCCAGTAATTGATGGAAGCAGATGCAGAGATCCATAACCAAGAACCAGGCCAAGCTCCGGGAATCCAGTCAAAGAGAGGGAGGAGGGAACATATGAGCAAGAGAGGTCAAGATCATAATGGAGAAATCTACAAAGACACCTGAACCAAGTTCATGGAAACTCATGAACTCTAGACTGACAGCAGTAGACTTCAGGGGACCATGTAGCCCAGACTAGACCCTCCATATGTGGGAGGCAGTTGTGAAGCTTAGACTAGCGGAGGGGCCCTGACAGTAGGACCACGATACAAACCTGGTATATGAGCTAGCTTGTTTGGAGCCCACACCCCATGGTGGGATGCCATGTTCAACCTTAATGCATGGGAGAGGGGCCTGGCCCTACCCCAACCTATTGTGTCAGGCTATGTTGCTTCCTCATGGGAGCTCTTTACCTGTGAAGAGGAGTGGGCTGGGGAGGACACAAGGGAGGGTGGGAGGAGGTGGGGGGGGAGAACTGTAGTTGGAATGTAAAATGAAATTTAAAAGTTTTTTAAATGGCAGAGAGAGAGAGAGAGAGAGAGAGAGAGAGAGAGAGAGAGAGAGAGAGAGAGAGAGAGAGAGAGAGAGAGAGAGAGAGAGAGAGAGAGAGAGAAACAATAAGCTTGGTACTCCAGAAGGCAGGCAGAGGCAAATGAGTCTCTGAGTTCAAGGCCAACCTGGTGTACAAAGCAAGTTTCAGGCCAGTCAGGGACATACGGTAACTCAAAAGAAAGCAAAAGATAATGAATTTGAAACAAAAATGCTATCTCATGAGACCACAGAACATTTGGGGAGACAAAAAGAACAGGAAAGGTGATGATGTATGCCACTGGTCAAAGCTGTCTTCATAAACTTTCACCTTGAAGAACTCCTCTCTGTGTGGTCACCAATTCCTCTTTCAAGCAAGACAAAGCATTGGGTTTGGTAAGTGTCTGGCACACTACACATAAACAAAGCTACATTAATGGAAGATAACAAATTTTTCTATGATTCAGGTCTATAATCTACTTTCCCCCAATACAGGCTATCATGTAGCCCAGACTAGACCCTCAAACTTGCAAACCTACTGGGATTACAGGCATGCACAATCAAACCCAGCTTTTGGTATACAATTCTAATAAAAGCAGTAATTATTTCAATAGGACTAAAAAGACAAAGAATCTCTGACTATTGAAATACAAATCAATTTCATACTCATGTTTCTGAAGCTCTAGCATTTTAATCAAGCAAATAAATCACAACAATATTTGCTAGACAATAAAGTAAACCATTTATCCTAATTCATCTAATTCAGATAAAGTCATAAGACAAACAGAACACTATCTAGAAAGTACTATTCAATATATCAAAGGTAGAAACAAGAACACACATTTCAACAGAACCAGGTGATAAACATTTTAAGAACCACCACAGTGGGCCATAGAGATAGTTCATCAGGTAAAAAAATATTTCCCAGCCAGGCGTTGGTGGCGCATGCCTTTAATCCCAGCACTCGAGAGGCAGAGGCAGGCGGATCTCTGTAAGTTCGAGACCAGCCTGGACTACCAAGTGAGTTCCAGGACAGCCTCCAAAGCCACAGAGAAACCCTGTCTCGAAAAACAAAAACAAAAACAAAAACAAACAAAAAAAAAATTCCCACATAACGCCGACAACCTTAGTTCAATATGTAGAACCCATCATGCTTGGGAAGAAGGCACCTCAACAGAAGAATTAGCCTGTGGGCATGTTTGTAGAACCTTTATTTGATTGTTAATTTATACAAAAACGCCAGGTCTATATAAGAAAAGTAGATAAGCAAGCCAAAGGGAGTAAGGCAGTGGTCTTCCATGGTTTTTGTTTTAAGGTTTGCCTACAGGTTCCTGCACTGGCCTCATTTGATGATAAACTGTAACCTGTAAGTCAAATAAACCTTTTCCTTCCCAAGTTGCTCTGTGTGTTTACTCTGTTTTATTACAGCAACAGGAAGCAAACCAGGACACCATATAGTAAAAAGTCAGATGCAATGGCACACATCCGTAATCCTAGCCCCAGCACTCCTACAGTGAGATGAGAGGCAGAAACAGGAGAATTGGTCAGACGTGTAGTGGCGGGAATGAGAATGAACCTTCCTCCTACAAGCTGGAAGCAGAGAACTGACTCCCTGCAAGTTGTCCTCTGATTTCTACATGGGTGCTGTTGGCACATATGCATCTGCACTCACACACATAAATCAATAAATAAAAGTAAAATCTTTTGTTTTTGTTTTTCTAGACAGGGTTCCTCTGAGAAGCCCTGGGTTATCCTAGAACTCATTCTGTAAACCAGGCTGGCCTCAAACTCAAAAAATCCGACTGCCTCTGCCTCCCAAGTGCTGAGATTAAAGGTGCACTTTCATCACCACCCTAAATCTTAAAAAAAAAAAACCTACAGTGTGTGCTAGGCATGCAGCTCATAATGAAGCACACATATAACATTTATGAGGCACTAATAACACAAGTTTAAATATATTAGAAGAGAAACTGCTATTACTGTTATCTCATTGGATTTGACAAAGGTCCTAAATACACTAAGCACATATTATGTCTGCTCACATGAGACATGTCATATGAGAATAACTACCAACTTACCTACAGAGGCCAGGCTTGTATAGTCCTCCACTGTTACATCACCAGGTACGCTGTTGTGAGCTGGATCCTTTGTAGTCCACTCCTCTTGAATGAAATCTACAGCCTCATCCTGAAAGGTCACCAAATCCTAAACCAAACATATATGCTTGTTTCAACCAAGTTAATATCCCCACCAATCCTCTCAGGAAAGTAAGGATGGGACCCCAATGCCTAGAGAGAGCTGCAAGTTCTTCCATTACCTGGGGTTCCATGGCCCAGACTAGGCTTCTCTGTATTCACTCACACTCTGCCTATCTATTCTAATGATGGGGATTTAATGACACATTTCACCCATTTTCACCTCACCACACACTGACCTTTCCTATTTTCGCTCTTTTCAATAATACTCCTGGACATACTGTATAAATGGGGCAAATATGAAAAAACAAAGTCTGGAGAAAATGATACTTTTGCTTTCTTGTTATTTTCCAAAGTACTATAAAAAACAAACTGACATTTGGCACCGCAGGGCCAAGACTATAATATAATATTACAGCAGTGTGAAAAAGCAACTCTCCCATGGTAATTATTCCTTGGGGGGGGGGGGCTTATTCCCTGATAACCCTGGATACAAGCTGGTCCGTATGGAAAACTGTAGACCTCTATATACAATGAAGTCGGTTTGTGGAACTTCTTCTTACCTTGTTACAGGTTTTCAGGCAATCGAGCAGTGTACTTCCTACCTCTGTTTCTTCTCCTTGACTGCAGACTTGGTCCCCAGGAAGCAGACTTCCTGGAAAAAAAAAAAGATAAAAAAAATCCAGAGCTGCCAAAAGCCCACATTCACTGTGAGGATGGGAGTTCATCTGTTTGCAATTAATACATAACTCAGTTCACTTAGATAATTTTGCAAATATAATTCTAGTAGCCTACACAGCAATTTTTACAGCAGGAAGATGCAATGGTGAACTGTCTTACCAATCAAGAAAAGTACATTAGTTTTGCTTTAAAACTAAGGAAATGTTAAGTTCTGAGAAATATAACTCTGAATTTGCCTATAATGACAAAAATCAGTAATGGATTATGCAGTGCCTGTTCCCAAGCACATACTAGAGGGCTGATATATAAAACAGTCCTCTTTGGACTACCTCAAGTCCTCCATAACAGAATGGCAGACCTCTGGCTCTACACTGTGTAGGAGGGACCTACGACAGATTCTCTCAAAAACAGTAGCAACAGGACTTACCACAGTACAAACTGGTAATGTCCATCCTTTGAGTCTGATGGCAAAACGTGCAATCAAATTCTTCGGTGACTCCAAGGAAACATCAGGGAAGCTTAAGCATCAAAGCAGAAAATGACAATATTCATTCTCTTTAATCTGCAGGATCTAGATTCCTTTGGGCATCAATCAAAAGGCAACACTTAGCAGTCATCAAACACCATATATTAGCTCTACAGGTGAGATCATGAAAACCACTAAAAATATACACCTTATAATACGGGTTCATTAGCAGCACCTGCACTGACTGAGGAAGCATATGTATTTGCTGTGATTTGAATAAGAAATATCCTCCATAGGCTCATGAACGCTGGTTCCCAGCTGGAAGTCATGTTTAGAAAAATTATGGATTCTGTAGGAGGTGGATCCTTGCTTGAGAATATACATCACTCAGGGTGGCCTCAAGGCTTTATAAGACTCATCATCTGTGTACAGATGAAAATGTGATCTATCTACTTCAGGATCCTGCTGCCATGTCATACCTCCATATTATAAACTGTACCCCTCTGAACCACAGGCTAAAATAAATTCTTCCTTGAGTGGCTTTGGTCATAGTTTCTTATCAGAGCAACAGGAAAGCAACTAATACAGTACTCTAAGTCACACTAGAACTTTTTTATAAATGTATTTATGTGTATATATATAAAAAATGCTCACATAAAATAATCATTCTATTTAATTATTTGAACACTCTTGACAGAAAATATTATAATCACTATAATAAAGCAATCTATACTCTCGATACGGATAACTGTCCAAGTACAAAGGAGTGAAGAAGGAAGAACAGAGTAACTAATCCTAAGATGTTATGATTATTATACCCCACAATAAGCACCATATACAGGACTCAGGAAAGTAAGCATATAAGTTACTTAAAATATAACATTCTGTGCTGGAAAGGTGGATCAGAGGGTAAAATCACCCTCACAACCATCTATAACTCCAGCCCCAGCAGATCTAACACCCTCTTCAGGCATCTTGGGCACAAGTAAATACATGATATACAGACATACATGCTGAAAAGCACCTTCTTAGTTAGTTTCCACTGTAGTGAAAAAACACCATGCTCAACAGCAAATTGCTGAGGAAATGGTTTATTTCATATAACACTTCCAAATATAGCTCATCACTGAGGAAAGTCAAAGCAGGAACCTCAGGGCAGGAACTGAAGCAGAGACCATGGAAGAACGCTGTTTATTATTAACATCTGGCTTCCTCATGTGACTATGAAATGGCTAAGGTGACACCATCTCGTCCTGACTTTATTTTGTGCCTGCCAAGAAACTCCTCAGCCTTCTACCCCCAATCCACATTTTGAGACAAGCACAAATTAAAACAATTCATCTTGGGTTTTTGTTTTTTGTTTGTTTTTTTCAAGACAGGGTTTCTCTGTATTGCTTTGGAGGCTGTTCTAGAACTCATTCTGTAGACCAGGCTGGCTTTGAACTCACAGAGATCCACCTGCCTCTGCCTCCCAAGTGCTGGGATTAAAGGCATGCGCCACCAACGCCCGGGGGTAAGACAATTCATCTTAACCAAGCCCACACGGCAGCAAATAAGGAATATTATACATAAGAAGACAGGGTCATCCACAAGAGCACAAGAGAGACAGTGCCCCAATGAACACATACAGGGACAAAGGAGGGCCAGGAAGAAGGTGTGGAGGTAGAAGGGGGGTGGGGGAGTGACAGAGCAGCAATCAACAAAACACTCGGAAATACGTAACCTTCTCAATATCAGCCTCAGATAAACATATATGGCTACAATTCACCAAAAGACAAATACTGACTGGGTTAGAAACTATCTGTTGTCTTCATGAAACACACCTAACCAATGTGATGGCTAGCTTTATGTTTAAATTCTCACAGGGCAGTAGTGGCTTACACCTTTAATCCCAGCACTTGGGAGGCATGGTCAAGTGGATCTCTGACTTCGAGGTCTAGCCTAGTCTACAAAGTGAGTTCCAGAACAGCCAGCCAGCGCTACACAGAGAAACTGTTTCAAAAAAAAAAAAAGTTTAAAATCTCTGTGCTTAAAAGAACTATAAAGCAAAATAGACCTCCAAAGACTAAGGGCTGTTAAGAGTCAAATTTTTTACTGCTGTTTCTGCTTCTGTAAACAAGCTTGTTTTGCCAAAAAAAAAGGGGTGGGGGATCTTCTGCTTGCACTGAGAACAAATTTAGCTTTTATTCTTTGCCTTTATAAACTCCTGATTGAGTGACTGGGTGCTACATTCGGGAGCCCCTGGTGCAGACCTGATGCCAGTTATCTGAATAAAAGCCTCCTCTTTGTTAAAATTATACATGGTCAGATTGGTCAATCTTTAAATGACCCCAGTCCCATAACACTTGAGAGCTCATCTTTGATTTGGGTGTTTACCAGGTCTACCCTTTTCTGGCTGGGATCCTAGAGGGGCCCAGCATACTGGGAACAAAGAAATTGGATAGATCCAGCATTTGGAGGGAGTTATCTGCAGGTTCTCAATGTTTAGACTGTGAAAAAAGAAGCATCAAAAAAACCTCGGGAGCTATAGGTAAGAATCCTGTCTGTCTGTAGTGCCCATTGGTGGAACTCAAAGAAAAGCTGGACACAGGAATTCTGAGTCAGGGAGACCACTGGCCCTTGTTGGAAAAGCCAAGATGGAAACCAAGTGTTGGATGTATGAATGAAGGTGGCCATCAAATGTTGTGTCCGGTCCCCCCCGACTGTGTGTGAATGTTGTCTTTTTAAGGTATCATTTGATGGATCTGTGTTTTCTGGTGTGTCCATCAGTTTGTTGCAGATATGGAAGCCAAGAGCCAGACCAAGCCAGTGGAGTAGAGAGCAAAGGAGCAGGCTAGCTGCATGCACACACTCAGCACACACTCCTCAACGGCTGGTACCAAACATCTCTCATATACTTCCTGCAGCGTTCTCTATCAAAAGCCAAGACTCAAAAATATTCTAAAACCTAAGCTTTGTGTTCTCAGCTTACTTGGTCATTGGATTCAATTCTACAGGGATTCGGGTGTCTTGTGAGTATGGGTGATATTAAAACGTTATTTTATGCTACTGTACTTCAGTTAAAAGCTGGCTTTGGAGTTGGGTTATGGCTCCCCCTCCTCTAGACCAAAGCATATGTATTTAAAGGTTTCCTCCAAAATCTCTGTTGCCTGTCAGACAGGTCACCAGACTATGTGACAGAGAAAGGAGAGCAAAATAAAACAAAGATAGACTATTCCTAAAGGGGGTTGTTGCTACTCAACTCATACTCTTTTTCATTTTTGTTTAACTCTAAAACTTTTGCTAAAGTATAAATCTTACCTCAGGGTTTAGAAGACCATTATATAAACTTTCTGTAAGTTTACTGGATATGGTTAAAGATCTATAAAATCTGTAGCAAGAGTTAACTTAAAACTTATACTAAGAGGTTTGATTATTGAAAATTTATATGTAGGTAAATCTTTTTTTTTTTTTTTTTTTTTTTTTGGTTTTTTGAGACAGGGTTTCTCTGTGACTTTGGAGGCTGTCCTGGAACTCGCTTTGTAGTCCAGGCTGGTCTCGAACTCACAGAGGTCCGCCTGCCTCTGCCTCCCGAGTGTTGGGATTAAAGGCGTGCACCACCAACGCCCGGCTTAATTTACTACAGTGTACTGTGTAGGAGTGAACCCCACAAAGCTATCTGCCCATGAGGGTGGGGATAAGTAAATTAGCACAGGTAGAGATAAAAGGAGGCGAAAGGAAAAAGGACCTCCTGTTTTGAAAGCCGGCCACACTTCTGATTCCCTGTGTTTACCCGCTTCCCCCTTCCACTGGCTTAGTGGCTACTAAAGCCACTGCGAGCTCCACTGCAATGCAGCATGTCCCCAACTTCCCCACCCCCTCTTTGTCCCCAAATCTGTTCGCTAAGTTTTCACAAGTTCCTTGGGAAACATTCGATTTTACACTAAGAAGCCGTGTTTGGCGGTACACCTGCACCATCTGCTGGCCAAACGCAGTAACAACAGGTATTTTAATCTAAGATAAAACAAGAGGTGATTATTCCAATTCAAGAATTACTAATTGGTGGTATGAACATCTAATTATAACATGGCAAATAATTTAACACTGCATGATTTTAGAGATTTCATTACCAACGTCATGGGTTATGCAGTAAAGGACAATTATGATATTTTTCATATGTTTTGTGTAACATGCTTGTGATTACTATGTTAATACATGTAATCACATGGAAGAAGCACGGCAAACAGACAGATAATAGACATATTGTACAAATGATTCAAAAATTAGAGTCAAAAATTCAGAAACAGGGATTTAGTTACCAAAACAAATAATTTAGAATTTAAGCAGAACAACCATGAGGAGATACAGACTTGGGTTGGGGAAGCAATCTTCAGAAGTTTCAAGACATCAAAACCCTAGATGTTTTAATTGTGGTTAAATAGGACATTTGAGTAGGAATTGCAGACAAAGCATTCCTAAAAATAATGCTTCTACCAGAAATACTTCACACAGAAGGCCTCAGCCTTCTGGTCTCTGCAAGAGGTGCGGCAAAAGCAAACACTGGACCAAAGAATGCTAGTCAACCACAGACAGACAAGGTAAGGCTTTGCAGCAGGGAAACTCAGGCAGGGGCCTCCCAGTAGAGGCCCCCAGATCAAAGGTGATTCGATCTTTCCCAGTAACAGGGGAGGACAGCCTCTCTCGGGACAATTAGAAAATCCACAGCTTATTGTAAAGACTACTGGCACTGTGGATAACAGATTAGTTATTGAGGAAGAGCTAGTTGATACTGGAGGAAACAAAAAACGTATATTCTGGCAAACTTCTGTAAAAAATCATAGACCCAAATTAGCTGTAAGAATGAATAATAACGTATTTTACAGGATCCTAGACACTAGAGAAGATGTAACAATAACTCAAAAAAACTGACCTGTAGGTTGGCCCTCAAAATAAGTAAATGTTCAATTTCTAGGACCTTATCTCATGTGAAACTAAGTGTCAGATGGATAGAATGTATTGGACCAGAAGGGCAGAGAGGAAGTTTGAGGCCATAGGTCGCAGATATTGCTATGAATCTCTGGGGTCATGATTTATTACAGCAATGGAATACCCAAATTAACATTCCTCCTGATTC